ATACCTCCTCTTGCCGGTCCATTTTGTCGAAGGTTTATTTTTGAGCTGTAGTGTAAAGACAAAGACATTTTGTTACAACTTTATCTTTACCACATTTTTGTCTCATAAAAAGACAGCTTATGACAATTGTTTTACTGAAATCTTTTTGTTATCACATAAATACTGACATATTTTCAGAGAAAGTCACTGTACATAATTCAGAAACTCAATTTTTACTCACATTTTCTTAGTTTTTGTTAAATAGAAAATCAGACCACAAATGCCTGCAACTGCCACTAAAACCCCAATGACAATCCCAGCTATCTCCCCTGATGTCAGTCCTCCACCTCCTTCTATGGAAAAGATACAAGAATCAAAAGACCAAGGCCATTTACTACACACAATACTAACAGTAATACACTTTAACATGTATTTAAACAAATTTAAAAAAAAACATATATAATTTAAAACAACACAAGGCAATTACATAAAGCTGAGAAAACAGTAGATATTTTAATATACCTTTTTAAAAACAAAGTTCCTTTGAACAAGTGGTAAATTAAGATCAAAGTATTGGTTATCAAAACTTGGGAACTCCTTTCAGATTAGTTTGAACTATTCTTACCTTTAACTAGTAAAGCATGTTTTTGTGAGGCGCTTCTCTTTGTGACATTATTCCAGGCTGTGCAGATGTAATCTCCACTGTGTGTGAAGTCAGTCTCATCTATGATGAATGTGTCTGTGGTCACATCAGTGTCTGTTCCATTAATCTTCCAGCTGAACGAGGCAGCAGGTTCAGAATTTGCAGAGCAAGAGAGCGACACACGAACCCCTAAATCCACCACATCCTCACCCTTAATAGAAACATCTTCTGGTCCATCTAGAACACAGACAAGAGACTCACTGACAAACTGAGCACTGAAGAATGTCTGTATTTCATCAGGTTTGAGCTCAAATCATCTTGATGTTTGAATGTTTAACACTCACAGTTGATGATCAGGCTGAGTTTGGCCGTCTCAGAGCTGATAGGGTTTCTATATGTACATTGATATTCTCCACTGTCTGATCTCTGCACTGGACTGATGGACACTGATCTGTTATCAGATGAGAAGATGATGCTGTTGCTAGGAGACAGAGGACTGTTATCTTTCATCCACTGCACAGAGGTGATGCTGCCAGTTCCCTCAGAGCTGATGTTAGCAGATGATTCTCCCTCTATTAATAAATCTTCTGGACCAATAAGCCTGACATTGGTTATATTTTCTGTATGAGTGAGAAAGAACAAACACACTAGATTTAAAATTAGTCTTTCACATTTAGTGACCATTTCACATTTCACGTTTAGTGTGGTCAAGGGTGTTACAGAAGGCCAATCAACAATGAAAGGAATGTTTATGTTTGAATATGTGCACCCTATAGAGTGTTTATCTTTAGTTCAGTGTCTATTTATATTGTCATAGTTTGTAGCGTGTAATTTATATTTTTAATGGATTTTCATAGCTGATAGAAGACTGAAAATCTGGATCTCAGACAAGAGTAAAACAACAAAAATCTATTGTCTAAAAGTTATTTCAAAATAAATGATAAAGCAAAACAAATTTTCAAGTTTCAACGTGATTTCCATGTAATAACATTTTTCATGAGAGTACCCTAATAACACTCATCTGTGCAAATCTGGTTCAGTAACAATTAACCACAAAGCTCACTGCAAATAACAGCAGACTTGTGCATATCTAAAATATTATTGTTATACTCTCATTAGTACTTCTGCTTGTCACTTTTGCAATTTTTACACATTATTTAATTAAATTAAATTTACAGCATATTAAATTGCTTTATGTCGCCTTTTCCCTTTCCACACATTAAATTAATTTCATATAATCACATTTTAAGCCTATGTAGCCAATGCTTTAATATTAAATACAGAAGTTTAAGCAACACACTCACCAAACACTTGTAGTGAAGTTTCTCCTGTAAATTGGTCTCCAGCACTAGGCACTACAGTCAGTCTGTATATTCCAGAATCATCCAGTCTCAGGTACCAGAGCACCAGAGCGAGAGTGTTTATGTCAAAACTGACTCTGTCTCTGTATTCTGGGACTATTGTAGTTGAATCAGACTGTGCTGTCAGTATAATAGCTGTTCCAAAATGCCACTGAACTGCATCAATTGATGTGGAGGGTGGATTATCAGGAGCGAACACCACACTTCCTCCTACGGCTCCATTAGAAGGACCAGAAAACTGCAGGTCTTCCCCTAAATACTGGCCTATGTCAAAGAAAGAAAGAAAGAAAGAGTTATTGACTAATTTCACTAGACGGCATACTTTTTATCTGCTACAACTACTGTAGTTAAATATTTAGTTTACAACAAAAGCAATGATTAACTGCAAAGGCGGACATATATTTTTCTGCAATTACATAATTAATATAGTTCCAACTAACTAGTTATTATACACAGCAATTCAACATACATTTTTGAATTAGAAAAAAAACTCACCAAAAAACGATAACATCCACAGCGTACAGTACAAACTATCAGAAACCATCATGATCGAGCTCTCAGCTGTCAGGAGCTGCTGCTTAAATCATCTGAACTATTTACATCAGTTTTCAGTCAATGATAAACGGCAGTTCTAGACAGCAGAGCTCACTGCGCCACCTAGCGCTGGATATTAACATGAGTTTTACCTTTGATTATTCAGTAAAGTTGCCAACATATATTCAGTTCCCAGTCACGTGACTGGCTCGAAGACCTGGAGGGCAAAACATCCATAGAACTGCAGCACAAGCCTGTCAATTTTCCATCGGTTTCCAAGCCACAAAGATTTAAATAAAAAATAAATAAAGAGGATTTATATGGATTGCCTCAATATTTCAATCACTAAAACTGCGTGACATTCTAAAACGTAGGCTACACAAAGAATGTCTCATCAATAAGGTTACTGAATTTGGCCTTTTAACCCAAAAAAGGGCAAGACCATAAAGAGAAATCAGAAAATTAATTTATTGCTATTTTCCATCTTCTTAGGACACAAATAATACAATTTCATGATTTTTTTTTTCTAAACATGACTTCTATTTTTGATTTTAATGTTTGTATTAATATGTTACCATAGACATTGCGCTACCTGCTCATATAGTATTCATTTTATTTATGCAGGTCTTAAAAAGGCCTTTAAAAAGTCTTAAATTTTATCTTAAAAATCCTGCAGATACCCTGACCAATCATCCCCATCCCCCCATCACCCCTCCGCTCAGATCTCCTGGATTTTGGTACCCAAATGATGACAGGTATGCTCCTCCTCCTCCACCTACTATGGTAAACATACAAGAACAGTAACAGACAATTATTTAAAAAAAACACGACATTTCTAAAACAAAATAAGAGCAGAAGCTACAACAGAGGTGTGTAGAATAGCAGAAAAAAAATTTGTAAAATTTGTTTCTTGTATATTTTTTTAAATAGAGTTGTAAATGTAAGTCAAAGCTTTGCGGTGACCGTGATTTCACCAAGTACAACATGTTCCTGGGTCAACATCTTTGTTGATCCTGGAACAACATTCCAATTAACCAATCAGAATTGAGGGATAACTTTTCAGGAAATAACTGTTTTAGGCTTACGATCAGGGTTAGGTGCTTCTACACCCTTGTTAATCAGCTATCATTTCACACTGTTTTTAGGAATAAATAATGGGTAGGGTTAGGTTTAGGGGTAGGGATTGGGTTTAGTCTATATTTTTGGACCGTTATGTTGATCCAGGAACATGTCTTACTTGGCAAAATCACAGCGACCAAGCTTTGTTTATCAAAACTTAGCTAATTTCAGGTTAGTTGTAACCACAGTAACTAGTAAAGCATGTTTTTGTGAGGTGTTTCTCTTTGTGACAGTATTCAAGGCTGTGCAGATGTAATCTCCACTGTGTGTGAAGTCAGTCTCATCTATGATGAATGTGTCTGTGGTCACATTGGTGTCTGTTCCATTAAACTTCCAGCTGAATGAGGCAGCAGGTTCAGAATTTGCAGAGCAAGAGAGCAACACATAAAACCCTAAATCCACCTCATTCTGACCTTGATCGAAACATCTTCTGGTCCATCTAGATTCTAGAACAAACTGAGCACTGAAGAATGTCTGTATTTCATCAGGTTTGAGCTCAAATCATCTTGATGTTTGAATGTTTAACACTCACAGTTGATGATCAGGCTGAGATTTGCCGTCTCAGAGCTGGCAGGGTTTCTATATGTACATTGATATTCTCCACTGTCTGATCTCTGCACTGGACTGATGGACACTGATCTGTTATCAGATGAGAAGATGATGCTGTTGCTAGGAGACAGAGGACTGTTATCTTTCATCTAGGGTTGGGCGATATGGCCAAAAAAATTATCACGCTAAATTATTTAATATCAGTCGATATCGATAATTATCACGATAAATTTCAAATCTTTATTTCTTTCCAATTTAAAGGCATATTTTGCTCCTAAGTCAAAGTTGTAGAAACCAGACCATTAATTGTGGTTTTAAACTACTCTTTATTGTCAGAACATGACAGACACGTCACGTTTTTGAATTCTTTACACTTTTCCAGTCATTTTTCCTTAATAAAATAAATATCTTAATAGAAATATTTCTTAGTTTCTTGTGCTAACGTGTGATATTGCTTCAAAAATATATAACAGGTTTGTGTTGCCTGAGTTTGTTGGCACAAATCTTTAGACAGTTTGAAGTGCAGGCTACAATATTAATAACATGACAATAATATGACAGTTGACAGTAGTAGGCTATAGCTTGAGTTAGAATGCAGATGTAAATTTATGTTCATTAACAAAAACAGTAACGTGTAAAAATTGTAACAACCTCTTTTTTATGGTAAAATGTTATAATTCTGACTGTTTCAGTTATATTACAATTAACCATTGGTATTTCATAGTAGTGTACATTTAGATCATGATAACCACAGTTATATACATACAGTAGCAGACACACACAGAACACTGACTACAATATTTTTTGGTAATTCCATTCATGTAAAACCTTGATCTTGTGAAAATCTAACAAGTGACCATCAACATCAAAATTAACAACTTAAAATGTCAAACCAATCAATAAAACTTTCTAATGTAAAGATAAATATTCTTTAGATGTAATGCTATTTCTGAAATGTTAAAATACAAAAATAAAATAATTTTTGTGGAATCAATGAATTGTAATATTTGTTTCATGCTGATTAGACTCATTAAATGTGATTTTTAGTCAAAACCAGAAATGTATACAATGTACCATTGTATAAATGCACCACCATTTTTCACCACTCTATAAATGCAGCTTCTAGGAAATATATCTGCTCTCAGCATTTCTGCTTTTTCTGCTTCATCTACAAGTTGTCAGGGCTGTAGGCAGCTGTTTTAACTTCCCTTTACGTGACTGAACTTTGAACAGTTTTTTATAAGATGAACTGGTGTAACACAGCGTGTGTCATTGCTCTGTTGAAATGAAAGCTTGTGATGGACTTACAAAATGTGTTCATTCCTCTACTGCTGTCTTGCACCACTGTGTTTACAGGTTAGTGAATTATTACTGCGTTTTTCGCATTTAAAAAACTGAACTAATGTCATATGCTGCCGTTTTTTCTCCTAAATATTCAATAGAGAAATG